GGCAACACGGTACTGTGCTGGTTTGCCTCCTTCCTTCTGGGTGGATTCTAGCGGATGATTGGGGAGGAGAAGTCCTGCCCTTGGCCCCTACTATGTGGGGTGCCACAGGGGTCAGTGCTGTCTCCTCTCCTTTTTAACATCTACATGAGACTGCTGAGTGAGCTCATTTTTGCCATGGGGTGAGGTATCACCAGTATGCTGATGATACTCAATTGTATATCTCCAGTCCTGGCAAATTAACGCCTTATCCCAGTGTTTTATCCCGGTGGCTGGAGGCTGTGAGGGCCAGGATGGGGAACAGCAGGCTTCAGCTGAACCCTGGCAAGACTGAGTGGCTGTGTTTTTTGGGACCTAGTGGTTCCAGGACTATGCCATCTTTGGCCCCGGATTGGGTTGCACTACCCCAGACAGACCTAGTGCACAATCTGGGGGTCCTCCTAGACTCACGACTCTTGCTCGATGAGCAGGTGACAGTCGTGGCTAGGAGGGCCTTTGCACAGCTCCATCTTGTGTTCCAGTTGCACCTGTTTCTGGATCGGCAGGCCCTGCTTACAGTCACTCACTCCCTAGTCACCTCCAGATTGAACTACTGAAGTGGGCTCCATGGAGCTGCCCTTGAATCTTCAGCTGTTTCAGAATGCAGCGGCGTGGGCAGTTATGTGCACTCTGAGAACAACACATGTTATACCTCTCCTCCATTGGTTGCCAGTTTGCTTCCGGGTCCAATTCAAGGTGTTGGTTTTAACCTTTAAAGCCCTTCATGGCATAGGACTGGGCTGTTTGAGGGACTGCCTTTCTCTGGTTACATCAGCCCACCCCATCAGATCTTGCAGAGAAGGCATGCTGCAGATACCATTGGCTAGGGACCTGCATTTGGCGGATCCCAGGAGACGTGCCTTCTCTGCTGTGGTGCCTGCCTTATGGAACATCTTTCCTCCTGAGATTAGATTAGCACCATCCCTTTTGCTATTCTGAAAGGCCCTCAAGACCTGGTTATGTGATCATGCCTGGGGCTCCCATGGAACTGGAGACCTGCTTAGATGGCTTCATTGCTGAGGGGGCCATTTTTATTCTCCCTTCCCCTATGGTTTGTAATAAATAAATTTGCTTAATAAACAAATTCACAAACTGGGAATGCAGCATCTTGAGATAAAATGACTTCTAGGAGCAAAACTGAAAATATTTCTCCTATAAAACCACTGGAAGCTACTTCTCATCAGATTAAGCTAGTTGAATCACATATCTAACAATTTCCTGTTGTCAGCTTGTCTTACAGTGCATAATTTTTCAGTTCTCTAAATGAGTATTATTATCAAAATTTCCCTCACCTTAATCTTAAGGATGCTAATTAACAGGTGCTGAAATTCAACTTAGTTATTGAATTGTCTGCAGCATAAATCTGTTGAAATAACTAGTAATCACAAAGACCATTTTGACAAAACAGGAATACAGTATAAGACATAATCTACAGAAGACTACTAAAATCGTGGGTGAAGTATGATGGAATTTAGATTTGAAAGGAAAAATCAGCCCTGCTAGAGAAATGAAGCTTTTCTGATCATGTGTGAATGACTTATGGTTAGTATTAAAAACATGGTATATAAAGCTAGGATTCAGAAATTTATGTGTGAAGGGATTCCAGGCAATCAGAATCAATAGATGTTTCCTTTCAGTTAAAGAACAGTTTTCAGTATTATTCTTGTAACCAACAATTGGAGAGAAAAATAGAATAATTTATAGAGTTGATCAAGGATTGGCCTATAGGCATAGGCAAGGGAAGATCTCAGATTCACTGATCAGCAAGTTACCCAGACCAAGAGTAAGAATATTGTTACATAGGTCAACAGATGTATAAGTCAGAATGGAAATCTTATGGCCTTCCAGGACTGCCTAAGAACCCTCACTACTGGCCATGCTGACAAAGGGTGCTGGGTTCAGCAACATTGAAAAAGCAAGGGTCCTATTGCCCCATATTACTTGATTCCTCTTGGTTTGAGTGAGTACATTTTCCCCTTCAATGTTTCTCTAACAGAAAACTAAGATAATTTTCCCTCTAGGCTCCCTACGTGGTCTTTCTCTGTGCTGCCAGATTCTCTGAAAATCAGAAGAAACTTGATATGTGCATACAGCAGGAAGAATAGCAGCTAATTTAAAGAGACAGCATTGTGAGACAAGTATGCTAGTCTCAAAAAAAAAAAAAGTCCCCTTGGCATATAGTGTAAATACATTTCATTGGATATTTAGCTAGACCATAGTACATCTCCTTCCTCACTGTGGTCCTCAGTGATGCCTATCCCTGAACCTGCTGTGTTCAACTTTGTAAATATTAAACATGCTCCAGGGTCACCAGAGAGTGGGAGAAATTACCTTCCTGGCTGCATTCCCTGTATTGATATAAGAGCATGGTAGGCATGATAGAACATGGTAAACATCTCAGATTGAGAGGGATAGATGTACAGGCTTACTGGGGCCTGTGACAAATGTGATGGTGGTGTGAACTGAGTTGAAGATACGTTCTCTGATAAAGAAGAATGCCATAATAAGGCCCTATAATCTTGACGAAGTGATATCCCATCCCTTCATCCCTGAGCCTGGTTCTGGTTTGGTGACTGAGCAGTTAAACTGGAGATCTGCCACGCCCAGGAGAATGCTATTTTTTCTGTGAAGGAGGTAGGGGAATGCATCTGGCACACACAGAACTACTTGACAACAGTTTCATGGTGGAATCATACTTGATCCATTGTACTCAGATGTGATTAACCCAGCTTGCAACTTAGAGCATTGTCTAGAGCAGCAACTTTAAGATGCGTGGACTTCAGCTCCCAGAATTCCCCAGGCATGCTGGGAATTGAAGTTCACACATCTTAAAATTGCTGAGATTGAGAAACACTGGACTAGATGGCTACTGTTTTACCATTTTAGCAATGGCAGAAGGATAGAACTAAATTTATCTGGCAAGTTAAGAACTGCAAGTTAAATATAAGGTGTTGCAAGATACTAAAGAAAGAGGAGGTTTAGCCTTGCCTGATCTCAAATTGTATTTCATCGCTTGTAGTCTAGTTTGGTTGAAAGAATGGGTGTTGTTGAGAAATATCAGACTATTGAATTTGGAAGAACACAAATTGAGATTTGGATGGCACGGCTATTTATTGCATGATAAAGTTAAGATTAATGTAGACTTTAAGAATCATTTTATTACATGTGGCATTTTGAGAATTTGGTATAAGTATAAACCTAGACTGTGTCTGAAAATACCCTTATGGTTTATCTCCACAAGAAGCATTTTACAGGAAAGAAATGGTAATTAGGCAGACATGGTTAACTTATGGCGATATCCTTGATATTCACCAAGGAGAATTTAAAACAAAATCAAGAGAGAATTTGATATCATAAGGACATCCATGTCAGCAATTTTCATATTAACAACTTGTAGAAAGATTTAAAGTTGATAAAAAATACATATGGTTTTGAATGAAACAAAACTGTTTTTGAAACTGAATTGTGTACTAACAATGAACATCTTATTGTTAAAATGTATAAGCTTTTGTTGAGATTTGAAACAGAAGATGAACAAGTTAAATATTGTATGATAAAATGGGTTAAACATTTTGGATATAATATACAAATAGAACAATGGGAAAATATGTGGATGAAAAGGTTAACATTTACACTGTGTTATAATTTGAAGAAGAATTTCTATAAAATGTTGTATAGTATCTGTCACTGGAAAGATTATCAAAAATGTATTCAAATACATGTTGGAAATGTAAACCTCAAGACGGGACTTTATACCATCTTTGGTGGACATGTAATAAAGCTAAACCAGAGACTTTCCTTTTGGGACTGATGGATAAACAACTGGAAAAAGCTCACCATTTCTATATATGATAACTGCAGCTAGACTTATATGCTCAAAGGTGGAAAGATTCAACATTACCTACAATGGAAGAATGGATGGTGAAGATTATGGAATATACTGAGATGGCCAAATTTACTTCTTTGATCAGAGAAAAGACAACATCTATTGCTGACTGGAAACCTGTTAAATCAAGGTTTCCAAACTGACAATTCGGCAATATAGGCTTGAACTTTCTAGCCATTCACATTTCAGCAAAGGCATAATGCTTCCTGTTTCTCCCAAGTTTTACAACCTTTTCTTCTTTCTAGGCTGTTTTTGTTTTGCTTTTCTGCATGTAATTAATTGTGTTGATGAATCTGAATAGTAACCATAGTTCCTCTTATGCTGATGAGTATTGAATATCAATCAATTCAGTTACCATATGCATTTCTGTTTTTATGGTATTAATAGGTAAAGGCATGCTTAAAAAGCTGTTGAGTATAACTTGGCATTTTGTCTTTTTCTTGTTCTATATAGCAAGTGGAATTTCTCACATATTCTTTAAAGCAGAAATAATGTCAAAGTAAATTATTATTATTAGTGAAAATTAGCTTGGTTTCTTCTGGAAATCTTTCTGGTAGAGCCACTAGACTAGTACTGGAAATTATGAAATTAGAAATTAGGATTAGTATGATGGAGACTGTCAAATCCAACAGGGAAAACATGGAAAGTGACTTGGAGCTGAACCCAGATTTAGCAATGTTTCAAAGTCCAGTATTTGGCAGCAGTTACCTTGATTCTTCAGAACATTTCTTTCTGTGTCTAATCAGTGAAATATGTGAACATTAATAAAACAGACATGAAAAGCTTTGAAATAGACAGGGGGAGGGGAAATAAAAGGATGAATAAGGGATTATCTTTCAAATCAACTGATATTTTATATAAAACCAGTTCAGAATAATTATGAAGTTCTGTGTCTGAAAAAATGTAATAGATATTTGGAGAACATCATAATCATTTATATTTTGCCATTGTTCAGTCAATACTAGAACATTATTTTATTGTTTGTGGTCTATAGCACCTTTCTGCAAATTGCTTTAACATAGTCATTGCATTCGTATTGTTACTCCCATGAGGCAGAATATTATTCTTACTTTTACAGATGGGAACTGAGGCTCAGAGATAGTGACTCAAAGAAGGCCACCCAGTGAGTATTAGATTCACTTTGCATGCATGCTGTGCATTGTGGAACATGTCGTTCTGTGGTTGCTTAGGACCCATGAATATGACTATTGCTACTGTAAACTCATAATCTTCAGTTATTTGTTTTTTAGTGAGAAAAAGGGAATCATATTAAACTTAGAGCCTTAAAACCTATTATGGTGCATGATATTTGCTCCCGGTTTGCTTCCGGGTCCAATTCAAGGTGTTGGTTATCACCTATAAAGCCCTGCATGGCATGGGGCCAGGCTACCTGAGGGACCGCCTTGCCCCCCACGATTTCAACCCGTCCCACCCGATCTCACAAAGAGGGCATGCTCCGGACCCCCTTGGTAAAAGAACTCTGATTAGCAGGGTCCAGAAGGCGGGCCTTCTG